CGCAGGACAGGAAAGTCCGAGTGGAAACGCTCGCTAAGCTGGAGACGAGAAGCGCTGATCCAAGGGATCAAAACATCAGGGACCTCACCCTTGGTGCGCAAGGGGAAGACCGTGGTGTAGCGCGAGTAGTCGTCAACAACTATCAGGAAGTACCTCTCCTGACCCTGACCACGGACGCGGGCTGGGCCCCACACGTCCATGTGGAGCGTCTGCAAGGGAGCAGTCGTCGGGGGAAACGAGGAGGAGTGAGGAGCGGCGCGCTGCCGCCCCTCGACACAGGGAAGACAGGGAGGAGCAGGCGAGGGTGGGAGGGGAGGGAGAACCCTGGGAAGACCAGAGACAAGGTACCGTTTGTCCATGGCACGAAGGCGCTGCACGGACGGGTGACCAAGTCGGTGGTGCCAGAGGACGGTCTCGTGCGCCAGAGAGCGACACGAGCAGGGGGCCGACAGCTGACCTGACGCAGACGCAGACGCAGCTACCTGAGGGGACTCAGTGGTCAGTGTGTACAGGTCCGACCCCGGCTGCCGAGTGAAGGTAGCCAGGTGACGGCCCGTCCGAGCACACGTGCAGTGTGTCACGCGCTCGTAGGCAGGGGTGAACTGGTGAACACCCCCGTCCTGGAGCGCACAACCCGCCACCAAGTTCGTAGAGAACGAGGGGAGGTGGAGACCTGACAGTGTGCCCGACGGGACCGCAGGACAAGGAAGGACAGTGGAGGAGGTCGCAATGACCGGACCCCCAGAGGGGTCAGCGAGGGAGACAGCAACTGGCCGAGCAAGCGGCTCAAGGGCAGTGCGGTCACGAAAGAAACAGCGAGAAGCACCTGAGTCCAGTGTGAAGGTGTGTAGTGCCTCAGTCGACTCAGTACCAGGGGGCGCAGACTCACTAGTACCTAGACCAGCAGCCTCACCAGCACCTAGAGCGGTAGCCTCACTGGTCCGAATGCCCGGGTCGGGCGGAACACGCAGGTACTGAGCACTCTCTCCACTAGTAGACATCACATACATGGCAGTGAGAATAGCATCAAAGTCTAGAGCATAGATATCAATGTTCTTTTTCATCAGATCAGCCCAGCGGGGCAGCTCAGTGGCATCAGGGAACTGAGTACGCCAAGCGTCGTCGAGGCGAGAGAAGCAGCGCTGCGTGGTGTGCGCCCTCCCACACGTCTGACCAGTGCGGTCACCAGTGCGGATGACGTACGTGCAGCTAAGGCCACCCCCCCCCCCGTGCTGAGAGTACCACTCACGGAGCTCCTGGGGCGACAGAGTGCGCTGCTGGCTCTGGCCACTGCCAGCGCCTCCACGACCACCACCGCCACCGCCACCTCCTCGACCACCCCCTCCCCTGCCGCCGCCACGACCACCGCCGCCCCCACCACCGCCCCCGCCCCTGCCACCTCCCCCGCTGCTGCCGCCACCACCCCCACCGCTGCCACTAGTCCCTCCAGCCCCACCACCACCCCCACCGCCTCCACCGCCCCCACCACCGCCTCCCCCGCCGTCACCTCCGCCTCCCTTGCCCCCTTTGCCCTTGCCGCTGCGGCGCCAGCTCGAAGTGGACGCAGTCCCGACCTTCTCAGCACCAAGGAGGTCGGCAGCAGAAGCAGAGGCTACAGAGGGAAGAAGAGGGGAAGGGGAACACCCCTCAAAGAAAGGGGTGCGGGGGTCGCCACGAGAGGCACCTACAGCGACTATGCTAGCCTCAGCTGCAAGTAGTTCCTTCTCGAGGAGGGCAATGGTGAGCTCAGTGGGGCAGCGAGATAGGAAGTGATCCCTGACTGCACGCAGAGTGTCAGGGAGGCGGGTGACTAGGTGGTAGAGAGTGAGCCAGAGCGGGGGGGGGTTCGTGGCAAGAAACTCATCGGGCATAGCGGCACGGAAGCGGGCCTCACTAGTACGGAGGTGCGTGATGAGGTCAGCGACTGTGTGGAAAGAGGCCAGGTCGGGGAACAGGTAGGGGAGTGAGAGACGGCCTAGCGCGGCAGAGGCAGGTGAGGAGTAGCGGGCAACGACAGCGGTGTACAGTGCCTGTGCAGTCTTGTGCTGGCCAAAGTGCTCGCGCTCATCTATCGGCAGGGAGTTGCGAATAGCAAAGCGAGCGTGGGCGTCACGAGTCTGCCACTGTGAGCGGGCAGTGCTGTCAGCAGTAGCAGCAGGGGCAGTGGCATGGCCTAAGGCGTGATCGTACAGTGAGATGTCTTCCTTGGCAGTGAGTTGTAGGAATAGGTGCAGGTCATCGAGCCAGGTGTCAAACTTCACTGGGCGGCCCTCAGCATCGAAAGCTAGCACAGGGGGGCTAGCCATAGCGACAGTAGGAGCAGTAGTAGTAGTAGTAGCAGAAACAGCAGTAGTGACAGTAGCAGTGACAGAATCAGGGGCGCAGCTCGGTAGGGCGGCGCGGCTCGGGCCGGGTGACGCGGTTCGGTGGGGCGGCTCGGCTCGGCTAGGCAGCGGCTACTCGAGGTGGGGCACGTGAGGGCGTGCAGGGCAGAGTGGGGCGGTCCACACGGGGCACGAGGTGGCGAGCTAGCTAGGGCGGGGCCTGGTCACACGAGGCCAGCAAGGGCGGGCTAGTGGGGCGGGGCCGGTACGCTAGGGGCACGCGAGGGCGTGCAAAACGGCTGCTCTGGGTCCAGGGGCGGCTGCACCAGGGGCGGCTGCTTCAGGGGCCAGGGGCGGCTGCTCTAGGGTCCAGGGGCGGCTGCACCAGGGGCGGCTGCTTCAGGGGCTGTAGCAGCAGTAGCTTCAGTCAGGAGCAGCTGCAGTAAGCGCTGGAGTAGGAGCTGCAGCAGTAGCACTAGCTGTAGCAAGTGTAGTAGTAGGAGCTGCAGCAGTAGCACTAGTTGTAGCAAGTGTAGTAGTAGGAGCTGCAGCAGTAGCACTAGCTGTAGCAAGTGTAGTAGTAGGAGCTGCAGCAGTAGCACTAGCTGTAGCAAGTGTAGTAGTAGGAGCTGCAGCAGTAGCACTAGCTGTAGCAAGTGTAGTAGTAGGAGTTGCAGCAGTAGCACTAGCTGTAGCAAATGTAGCAGTAGGAGCTGCAGCAGTAGCACTAGCTGTAGCTGGAGTAGTTTCAGACAATAGTAGCTGTAGCAAGTGCCGTAGTAGCAGTGGCAGCAGTAGCACTAGTTGTAGCAGCACTAGCTTCAGTAGCAGCAGCAGTGAGTAACAGTAACACGGGCCGCGTGCGGGCCAGTCGCGGGCTGTAAGGGATGCGTGCGGGCCTGGCGCGGGCTGTACGGGCTGCGCGACGGCCTGGCGCGGGCTGTACGGGCTGCGCGACGGCCTGGTGCGGGCTGTACGGGCTTCGCGACGGGTCTACACGGGTTGTACAGGCTTCGCGACGGGCCTACGCGGGCTGTACGGGCTTCGCGACGGGCCTACGTGGGCTGTACGGGCTTCGCGACGGGCCTACGCGCTCAGGGGGGGGGTCGCACGTGACTAGGAGGAAAAAAAAATCGCGCCTAGGGAACCGTCTCGCCTAGAGCACGGTTTCGAATTTCGCATTTCTCCTAGGGGCGCGACTCGGGCAGTAGATCGAAATAGTAGTGGTGGGCCCTTTTAAAAAATCGGTCCTAAGGAGCATTGTGCTCTTAATACCATGTTAAAATCACTAGCTAGGGAACGAGAAAGTTGATCATTAGGTGAAGATTGGGGTACAAGACTAGAGTGTCGAGACTATTTCTGTACCCCCTAAGGCTAGCCCCAATATAGCCTAGATACAATTATGCATATGTTTTGACAGCGCGACAGCAAGGACAAACAACTGTCTCGATACTGAGCAGTTGCCCGAGTCGACACTGTATCGAACCGCAACAGCAACAGTAAAACAGTTATTAACTGTATCTTTTCATATTCCTTGTATCCTTATAAAAGCTTGTATCTCTTTACTTTAATTAATCAACTTTGCCCTCACATACCGTATGGCCCCGGATATAGGCGCCGTCCGATTAAAGGCGCCGGCGCCTCTATCTGGAGCATGGCGCTTATGGCCGTTCCTTGATTATAAGCGCCCCCCCTAGAAAACGTTTACTTATTATAAGCGCACGTGCAATTCTAGTTTAAATTCTTGCTTAAAACGGTAACGAAATTCATTTTTGCAGCGAGTCATATTTCGATTTCGCTTGGTTTGACTCGCGAAGACCTGACTGGCTGCACGTATAGTCAGGATCTGCTGGCATGACGTGTCTTTGCCTGTGTGTGCACCCAGAATATCGCTTGCGCGAGATTTTGTTTTGTGACGCTAAAGCATTTCGACTCGGTTGAAATGGCAAGAAGAAAATGAACAATTTGGTGATCTAAATATATAATTTCATTTTTGTCATTACATAAGCGCCGGCGCTTATGGCCGTTACTCAATTACAAGCGCCCCCCCTCAAAAAAATGAATCTATTATAAGCGCATATGCGCCTATATCCGGGGTAATACGGTACTAGCGCAAGGTGGTTCACAATCCTTTTATTAAACGCTTCCGCTATTTACATTGTCCTACCCTTGAATTCTGTCCTGCAAAGATCCTAAGGGCTTTTTCAGCCCAACAACAACAAAATGAAAAGCTGAACTTTCAGAGTTCACTAGAAAAAAAGGCTGAAATATCAGAGTTTTTAGGCAAATCAGAGAAAATTCTGACTTCTGGGGCCTGCCTTCTATATGTGTATATGCTAATCCAGAAAGGATAGCTGCATCTACGGTACCTTGCTGATTTACGGTCACCAACTCATGTCCTCTACTCTTATCGAGCTCATGTTTGTGCTAGCTTAAAAAAACTTTGTAACACACAAGAACTTCGTGATTCAAATGCTATATGACAAACGAATTTTACTAACGTGCAACAGAAGCTGTCAACCAATTTACTAACACTAAGAGTAAATCATCAATCATTCCCACTCCTGTCCGCTGCACTGCATGCAATGGACCAGGGACCAGTGGTAACATAACATCTGGTGCATCTGTACAATCTAATCTTCAGATACGGTCTGAGTGGAAATTGGGGGGGAGATGTTACGGAAGTAGTGACAGGTGAAGCGTACAGAAGGGCATGGGAAGTGACAGCGCTAAGGGATGGGCAAAGGTGAATGTAAGCAGAGCAACAGGAGGGGTGAGAACAGGGGGTAGAATGGGGGGAAGGGTGTGAGTGAAATGGGAAAGCGAGTGAGTGGGAAAGAGAGCGAGTAGGGGGAAAGGGGTGCACAAAGGGGAAAGAGAGTAACGAGGGGAAGATGGGTGAGAAAAAAGGGGAAAGAGAGGGAGAAGGGGGGAACTGGGGTGAGCAAAAGGGGAGAGAAAGTGAGGAGGGGGGGAAGAGAGTGAGTGAAGGGGGAAAGAGCGTGAGCAGGGGAGAAATTGGGTGAGTGAAGGGGAATAGAGAGTGACCAGGGGAACATTTGGGTGAGTGAAGGGAGAAAGAATGAGCAGATCAGGAAAGAAATCGGGGAGGGGGAAAGAGTGAGCCGAGCAGGGGAGAAATCGGGTTAGTGAAGGGGGATTGTATGACCTCCAAAACGGAAACAGCAGTGTGTGAAGGAAAAGTAGATGGCGGGAGAAAGAAGTGAGGGCAACGAAGGGGGGAGATCGGAGGGAGGCAGGGGGAAACGGATGGGAGGTAGGGTGGAAACGGATGGGAGGAAGGGGGGAAACGGAAAGGAGGAAGGGGGGAAACGGATGTGAGGAAGGGGGGAAACGGAAAGGAGGAAGGGGGGAAACTGAAGGAAGGCAGGGGCGAGAAAGTGAATGGAGACAGGGGGGAAACGGAAAGGAGGAAAGGGGGAAACGGAAAGGAGGAAGGGGGGAAACGGAAAGGAGGAAGGGGGGAAACGGAAAGGAGGAAGGGGGGAAACGGAAAGGAGGAAGGGGGGAAACGGAAAGGAGGAAGGGGGGAAACGGAAAGGAGGAAGGGGGGAAACTGAAGGGATGAAGGGGGGAAACGGGTGGAGGAAGGGGGGAGAAAGTGAATGGAGGCAGGGGGAAAGTGAATGGAGGCAGGGGGGAAACGGATGGGAGACAGGGGGGAAACGGGCTTTGGGAACGGCTTAGGATAGGTGATTTGTGGACGAGGGGAATGGGGAGTTGAACGGACGGGAAGGGGAAGTGAGGGAGATGGGAAGGCAGAAGCGAGGGCGACGCGACGGGGAAGCGAGGGCGACGCGACGGGGAAGTGAGGGCGACGCGACGGGGAAGTGAGGGCGACGCGACGGGGAAGTGAGGGCGACGCGACGGGGAAGTGAGGAAGATGCGACGGGGAAGTGAGGGCGACGCGACGGGGAAGTGAGGGCGACGCGACCGGACGGGAAAGTGAAGGTGCGGGCGACAGGACAAGGTAGTGGGGGCGACGGGAAGGGGAAGTGCGGACGTCCGGAAGGCGATTTGACGGCGTCGGGAAGGGTAATTGAAGGCGACAGCAAGCGGACTGTACGGAGACAGGAATAAGAATTGCGGCTGACGGGAGGAGAAGTCGCGGGTGACGGGAATGGGAGCTGCGAGGTCGACGGGCCGCGTGATAGGAGGGGAATCTAGGATCTCCGTGCATTGCTAGTATTACTCGACGCCGCACACTCTCTCCGTGCTGCACATCCGCATCCCGCGCCTCCGACACACTCGACTCCGCTTCAGTGGACCGTTTCTAAGGTAAGCTTCTAGACCTAAGGTCATCGTTTGGTGAGCTTAGTGAGTTTATGCTGGAACATTGGTGGTGCACCACACGTGGTGGAGAACGCAAGTACAAGCAGTTTTTCGCTCTACTAAGCTCTCAGGATGATAGTCATGTTGCTTCTGAATGAAACATCTCATCATTTTTGTCGCCCCTATTTTGCCAGGCGACACACCTATTTCGTCGCAAATTGATTTTGTGAGCGGTTTGGGTTCGCAAACCTTTCCGAACCTGACTTCCAAACCACCCAGACCAAACCTTGTTACCCAATCTCTCACGAACGAGCTCTGGTATCCCCATTTGGGAAATAAGTGTTGCCCGATTGTACCTCACGATCAACTTCTGTTTTCGCAATCGCGTCTCGCACTTCCTCGTTCTTCTCGCAATTCCTCGTTCTTCTCGCACTTCCTCGTTCTCGCACTTCCTCGTTCTTCTCGCAGCTATATGTTCCGCTGAGAACAAATGGGCAGGGCAGGATTAAGGGAAATTATACATGCAGTCACAGTTTTTCCCGTTTTATCATGTCTGGTCACATGTGACCAAACGTGATAAAACGGGAAAAATTGTGACTGCCCGTATAGTTTCTCCAGGATTAACTTCCTCCCCACTTGCCAATATTGTTTTTGCCAGCTCATTGTGTTCCCAGCTGTTTGCCTGGCTCGTGTACAGTAGAAGGATGATAAAATCGTATGACTTCAAATCTGCGCATTTTCCATCCAACTCATCAAGTTTTTATGGAGTCGTTGCCCCTTTCGAGCCTGTCTCAAGTCCTCCAGCAAGGAAAAGAATAGCATCCATAACCTTCGTGAGCTTCCATCAATTATGACTTTCGCATCATCTATGTCCACTCCTCAAAAGTTCTGTACCGATACCAATTTTTCAGGGACAGCGGGAAGTGAAATACCCCTGAAAATTGTAACATTCTCCTTAAATAGACGAATTGTAGTATTTAAAAAGAATAAATCTCGTCCAATAGTCTTTCCCCCTTTAGCCCCGTCAGGGAGGGAGGGTTGCTCCTCATGATGGCCCTTCCAGCCTGTCCCACTTGAGTCGAGTCGAGTCGCACCCGCAAAACCAGCCCACACTCGCCATACCTCAGGGTGCACGTTTGCATATCATTGTCCATTGCAGTTACAGTAACTACCTCCCAGCCAGCCCTCTCGATCCCACCCAGCCTTAGTCAGTCTCAACTCATCCCCTCTTTTCACTGACCTCATTCCGTTCCTCCCCTCCCCTCCGTCTATATTTTGTAGAAATGTCTGTGTCCCTTGGAAGCTCACTGCTAACAAGTTAGATTTAGAGATCGGCTGCTCAAAGCTCCCAGTCTATCCTCGTCGTGCATAAATCCTCCTAGAATCCGATATAGTCCGTAGTGAAAGCTCGTGGCGCGAATCAAGAAGGCCTCGAAAATAGTGTCTCTATATTATTTTCCTTGCTGAAGTCGTTTAAGAGCAGGTACGTATCAGCAAGTCACCTCCGTTTTGAGTCGGCTCAAATTTCGACAGCGACTTCAACGGTGCCTAAGTCATGCGCAGAATGCCTGACAGACCGAGGCCGCCGACTTTTTTGCGTCGTTCCTTCGACGCATAGGCATCATCCGTGCAACGTGCTATCCCCCGCAGCGCATTCCACGTAAAACATCGCTCAGCGCATTGCACGTTGCACGTAGCAGCACGCGCCGCGTGCCAGTCGTTTCCAGCGCACCTGCATTGCCTCCGCGCCCCAGTCATTCCCAGCTCCTCATTTACAGCTCCAAGCTCATCCGCTAGAGAACCAAACCGCTATTCATAGAGAAAGAGGTCTCCCACATCCGTCCATTCCTTTCCGTCTCGTTCATCCCGTCCGTCCGTGCGTCCTTGCGTCCACACCCACCCCCCCTTCCCCTCCCCTCCCCCTCCCTCCCCCCTCCCTCCCTCCCCTTCCCGTGACCTTTTTAGGTTCGAGCCAACGTTTTTTTGCCCTGCGCGCGACGCGTATAAACGTCTGCCATTACACGAAGCCTGCCTCTACAAATAGTTCCCGCCTTCAAGAAGAGTTCGCTCTCTCTCGTGGCGCGCTTTCAGCCATGGGCGCGGCGGAGGAATACGAGGAGCACGGCGGCGGCGACGGCTCGGCGGAGGAGAACGGAAGCGCCGCGGGCGACGGCGGCGCGATGCAGCGCGAGGAGATGCAGCTGTATTCCGAGGCGTCCGCGTTTCAAGGCGCCGCGGTGGTGGCGATGATCGAGCGGCACGACGAGGATATCGGCGAGGAGCAGAAGATTCTCGAAATCACGATGGAGGATGGGGTTACCATGTCGCTCGCGCTCGACTCTGGCGAACGGCGGCTGAACGAACTTGGATACCGGCAGGAACTGAAGCGTTCTCTGGTAAGTGTTCCGTTTGTAGGTGTTCCGTTTCCTTGGTAAAACCGTACCTTACAAATTGGGTGGGTTCAGAAGAAGCGTTTATTGAAGCGCCTTGCAAACTGCTTAAGTCAAGGCGGCTCGACGAACTTGGTTACCAGCAGAAACTTAATCATCACCTGGTGAGCGACGCAATCTGAGGCTAGGGGGGTTAAGAGGCTCGGAAACCTTTCTCTGGTAAGCGAAGTGGAACCCATAGGCTCGGAAACATTTCTCTGGTAAGCGAAGTGGAACCCCATAGGCTCGGAAACCTTTCTCTGGTAAGCGAAGTGGAACCCATAGGCTCGGAAACCTTTCTCTGGTAAGCGAAGTGGAACCCCATAGGCTCGGAAACCTTTCCCTGGTAAGCGAAGTGGAACCCCATAGGCTGGGAAACCATTCTCTCCTCCCATGTGCCTCCCACCCACCCAACCTCCATCTCATCTCCCTTATAAGCGTCCCCTGGTAGGCGTATGTTGAGAACAGGGTTTTGGGTTTAGGACCATTTACCTGTACCCTAAGAGTTTATCTAGAATTGCTCAGTGTTGTTCACATGTGCTTCCAGAGCGACCAAACACGGGCATTGTTTCAACGCATGTTACCTCCTCTTTTGAGTCACTCGTTATCCATTGCTTTCCCCGGTTTATTTCGTTGTTTCTCTCTGCAAACAGCATTTTCCGCAGCTGTACACGACGGGCATCAGCATGATGAGCGTGTTCGCGGGGGTGGTCCCCATGTACGCGTAAGTACTATTCCTTCAAGCCCATATACGCTTTAGTAGTGTTCCTCCATTTATGCGTAAGTACTGTTTTCCTTATCCCACGGGTACATATGTGCCTTATCCGTTGCTATGTGAGTGTAGCTCTTTGTTGGGCACTTATAGCCGAGTGACTTCTCTTTTACTCCCCTGCAGCGAGTTCCCTTTTTACTCATCTCCCTCCTCTTATCGTCCCCCTCTTATATTTCCCCCTCTTTTCTCCCTCTTTTCTCCCTCCTCTCACCTCAACCCTCTCATCCCCCTCTTCCATTTCCCCATCTCACCTCCCCCCTCACACCTTCCCAATCATCTCCTCTCCCTTCGCTCTCGTTTCCAATTCATCCCCCTCATATTGCCTGTCAATGCCTTCCAATGCCTCTCAATGCCTCTCAATGCGTCTCAATGCCTCTCGATGCCTCTCAATGCCTCTCAATGCCTCTCACTGGTCTCCCCCTTTGCTCCTTCCTCACCTCTCCCCCCCTCTCCGCCCCCTAACCTTCTTCCCCATGGTGTTGGCCCACCCTCACCTCTCTCTGACTTGCATTGCGCACAAGGCTTTTACGGTGGGCCAGCAAAACTCATATGGTACTGGTAGATAACAGAAGTTGCAGTGCACCTCTTCGTACCGCACTGCACCTCGTACGTCGCATTACACCTCCCTGCACCGCAGTGTACCTCTTTGCTCTCTCCTCCCTCGCACCAAGAGACAAGGGTTTCACGAAGGGGGCCCAGCAGGGCTCATCTGGTACTGTGGATCACAGCCGTGGCAGTGCACCTCATTGCACCGCATTGCACCTTATTGCACCTCATTGCTGCACCCATTTCCTATTCTCCCACCAACATACAATGGTTCAACGACGGCGGGCCAGCAGGGCTCATCTGGTACTGGTGGGTCACAGCAGTTGCAGTGCACCTCATTGCACCGCATTGCACCCCTTGACTCTCTCCCCCACCCCTCCCACCAACAGACAAGGCTTTAACGACGGAGGCCCAGCAGGGCTGATCTGGTACTGGTGGATCACAGCTGTTGCAGTGCACCTCATTGCTCTCAGCATGGCCGAAATCTCCTCCTCCTTCCCTGTGAGTGAATGAGAACGGTTGAAATTGGTAAGAAGTGGTGATTGGGTACAACCTACAAGGCCACCTGCGGGCTTCACAGCTGTTGCAGTGCACCTCATTGCTCTCAGCATGGCCGAAATCTCCTCCTCCTTTTTATTAAGTGAATGAGAGCGGTTGAGAGTGGTGGACACTGGTGCTGGCTAGAAAGCCATCTTCGGATCTCTTGGCTCTCACCATGTCAAAACTTCCTCACCTTTCCAACTCTACCCTCCTCCGCCCATCCGCCTCAATCCATTATGCTCCTAATCCACCCCACTCTCCCACATCCCTTAGAATTCATTCTCTTGTTCTTCCACTCCACCTTTTCAAGCTCTTTCTTTCCTACCCTCCCCGCTCAACCCCCTTCCTTCGCCTTCCCCACAATCCCTCCCTGTCCCCCTCACCTTTTCCTATTTCCAGACAGCTGGTTCTCTCTATTTTTGGGCAGCCGCACTTGCAGGGCCGAAGTGGGGCCCACTTGCATCGTTCATCACGGTGAGATGCGATCTGATTCGATTCGCCATGAAATGCAATTTGACTTAATTCACCATAAAGTGTGATTTCATGTGCTTCAGTTACGGCTTGACTTAGAGCGTCCCATGAGTGCCCCATGAGTGCCCCATGAGTGCCCCATGAGTGCCC